TAGGGAATTCCCAGGGAATTCCCTATTCCCTTATAGGAAAATATAGGGAACTTATAGGGAATAGGGAATTCCCAGGGAATTCCCTATTCCCTTATAGGAAAATATAGGGAACTTATAGGGAATAGGGAATTCCCAGGGAATTCCCTATTCCCTTATAGGAAAATATAGGGAACTTATAGGAAAATATTCCCTTATAGGAAAAAATTTTCCTATTGGAAATAATAGGAAAAATATAGAAAATATAGAAAAAATATATAGAAAAAAAATATAGAAAAAATGTATAGAAAAAAATATTCCCCTATAGGAAAATATATTCCCTTATAGGAAAATATAGGGAACTTATAGGAATAGGGAATAATAGGATATTCCCTATTATCTACTCCTGATATATATATATAATGGTTTAAATAATGACAAATTTGTCATTATTAACCCCTGCTATTACTAGCTCAGGTACAAGCAGTTTCCCCTTCCTAAAAATAAAACATGCGCAAGGCCCCTGGAGACATTTTGACTTCTTGAATCTCGCCAATATAATAATTTTATATGTTATATTGATCTGTACATAAGTCTCTCATGTTTACATAGGTAAGTTATAATGTGATCATGCTAGGCAGCGATTTTCACTGCGGTGTTTCACTGCTGCAGATACTGGATGCGAAAGTACGAAATATATCCGAGATTATGGAAAATCTGGAGCTTACATTTTCGAGCGGAGATTCTTCGAAGGAAAAGGTCACCGCCACTCTATCAATATTCTTACTCGTCTTGCTCGTCGGAGGTCGCAGCGGTATCAGAAATGTTGAAGTGTAACACCTATTTATTACTGTTTCCACGGTATCGATACACCTGGCAGTATATGAATCACACTTGTCACTGCATGTCGCGTCTCACTCGGGAAAACTCGGACATTTCCGTGCCGACGTCTTACCTCACCTGTTTATCGCAAATTGCTATAGCAATCGATATATTTGAATCGGTCGCGCCTGAACCAGAACACCATCTGATAAATGACTATTCCAGGCAAAATACCGGCAGAAGTTGTGCATAATGGTTGTAAACGCGATCATCTGCCTTGTAGCGATTCTACACAACACTAACATTGTTTGAAATAATAAGGCAGAGTGTATATAATATTAATTTATCGCCGATGTGATAACGTCACGGCCGAGCGATATAAAGCCTACATTATCGTAATATCTGCCAGGTATATAGGCCTGCATTCATCTACAGGTAATGCCGACGATGCGATGAAGAGGAGTAGTGAATTCGTCTGACGTTTTATAGAATTGCAACTATGATTATCAACTGTTGGTTATGTTCACGTGAATGAGTTCCGATACGATTGTATGAGAAACTTCGACAGATGCATGTCACTTGTGAGAAGTATATTTATATTTCAGATAACCGGTAATGTATATTTTTATGCTGCAGATATTGGGTGCGAAACTAAGAAATTTATCTGCAATCATTGAGAGTATGGAGCTTGCGGAATCCAGTCGTGACTCTGTGAAGGAGCAGGTTGGCAGATGATTATTGTCTACGTCACGTATTTTCTATTTTCACGTATGGTTTATAATAGTAAAATTTTTGTTGATTTTTTTTACATGAAAAGCAAGTACTAACGGCACTAAATGTATCTTCAAATTCTTACCTGATGAGATTGTTTGTCAACTAGTTAAAAATCCTAAAAATCTGGGCGATTTTATATATTGATCGTGAAATTAAATGCTTGCTATGGGCTATGTATGAGTCACGAGTGTTTGTTCACATCGAACGGAATAGCAAAATAAGAAGTATAATGCAGCAATTTGACCATAAAAAATGAACAGAATCACTTACATTTTGTGAAAAAGTGGACATAATTTTTTTTACTTTTACTATTTACGGTGACGTAATCACTTTAACACAAGACTTTGCTCCTACGTGTATATGCCGTGTTACCTAAATACCGCACCGTCTGCAGCATTGCGATTTCATTTGTGAACAGGTGGAAATTTATTTAATTGAATTGAATTTGCAGTTAGCTAATCTGGAAGAGAGGTTTCTGCGACAGAATGGAACACCAACCTCACCAGGCAAGTATAAAATATAAATAATTACTTTCAAGATAATTTTTTTACTTTTCATGTAAAAATGTTTATTAAAAATCGATAAAATCATCCGAAAAAATTTCCTGCACCACCACACATATATATGTACCGTTGTCGGCTATTATCGGCTTTTGGGTCGTCATCGGCTGTTGCGGGCAGTTGTCGATCTTTGTCAGTTGTTGTCGGTCTTTTTCGGCTGTTTTCGGCTGTTTTCGGCCGTTGTCGGCTGTTGTCGACAGGTTACACTAAGTTGATTGACCGCCGTGTATATTGGCAATGTGCGATTTTTTATTTTGTAATTTTTTTTTAAAGTGAACTGTGGGAAGGAGGCGCTGGTGTCTGTCTCTGAACCATGGACCAATAGGTGGATGGGCACCGAGGGTAGATTCACTTACGGTGCCTGGTTTAAGGACCCGCTGCCAACACAAGGAAACGAAGACAAGTTCTACTATGCATCGTTTGCGTCTGGCGTTCTATATGAATTTGCCAACTACTCGGACTTCGTGTCGCATTCGAATCCGGTGGCGCATTCCATTCCGAACATCTACAGCATCAACAATGCGTCCGGTCTATGCGTGTATAATGGCTCGTTCTATTTCGTCACCAAACACGACATGACGTTGTTCCGATACAACTTGCACAAGCAACGTACGGTAGTTCAGCGGCCACTGGGTTACCGGTTGAGCAAATACCCGTACAGTAACTTCCAACATACCAACGTTGACCTTGAGGCAGACGAAAAGGGACTGTGGGCAATCTACGGAATAGATGGTCGCATCATCATCAGCAAAGTCGATCCCGTTCTACTCAGTTTCACGCGAACGTGGAATACGGTGGAAAGCGCCACCGCTAACACTCCCCGCAAGCGATCCGTCGGTAACGCCTTCTTCATCTGCGGAATCATGTACGCGATCCGCTCGCACGAGACGCCAGATGGCAGCATCTTCTATGCGTACGACACGAACACGAGCCGAGGGGTGTTAGCCTCCATTCCGATACACGTCAAGTACGGGCTGCTGGGCCAGCTGTCGTACAACGCGCGCGAGAGGGTTCTGTACGGGTACGACAACGGCCACATGATCACCTACCCTCTCCACTTCGCACCCGTCGCTTAGTTAGCGCGTGGCTGCTGGAAACCTCCCGCAGTGAAACACCAGCATAGTGCAGTAGCATTACTGGGAGTTATCCACCACGTGTATCTGTCCTTTGTACGCGTACCCGTAGCACTGTAGGGTTAAGAGTTATATTCCACATATATCTGTCCTTTGTACGTTTACCAGAAGCACTGTAGCATTGGGAGTTGTATCCCACATTATATCTGTCGGTTGTACGCGTACCCGACGCGATCAAATTGAAATGTTTTACTCATATCTTTCCATAGTAGCCGCTGTAAGTACCGTATAGTGATGTGAGTGATGTAGTAGTAGGTGTCATATTAGTGTGATTTGATAGTGCATCTTACTAGTATCACAACTTTGCCGTGTTTCTTATTTGTACGATGTGTGTTTGGCACGTGCTTTTCGGTATAGTTGGTTACAAACTTCCCTAACAGTGCGGCAGTAGGTATAGATTCAACAGTATACGTATCTAAGACTTCATATGTCAACTAAAGTAAAATATAGCTACATTAATTAAGCTGTTACCACGGTTAATATAGAGTTATCCGTTTATATAATAATCACATCGGTGTGTTCCTAAAGCTATATATGACTTTATGATAATCGATGTATGTAGGGCAACTTTAATACATCAATAGTGGTTAAATTCAATAGTCACATCAATGCCAACAATGCCAGAATAGTCAAATAATTAATTAATCTTTTATATAAAACATCTTGGGATAAATTAATAAATGTTTTCCCAAATCTGTCAATTAATCTGTTATTTTTTAATACAGATGTGTTTTCATAGTTGCAATCAAACATGACGTCGTCCCGCCATCTACTGGGGAAAATAATTGTACGTACACATTGTCAACATTGTGTTTAATAGGCACGCTAATATTGTTGATGTGGATGTATAACAGTGAACTCATAAATACTAGACGGTAATTACGCACATTCACAAGCCCCATTAGCACTTGCTGGCATGCAGCGCCACATACTTACGGTGGCGCAGAAGGCTCACCACAAATGCAAATCCCACAACACAAATGCAAATCCCGCAACACAAATGCAAATCCCGCAACACAAATGCAAATCCCGCAACACAAATGCAAACGTCACAACACAAATGCAAAATCCCACAACACAAATGCAAACGTCACAACACAAATGCAAACGTCACAACACAAATGCAAATCTCACAACACAAATGCAAATCCCGCAACACAAATGCA